AATACTGAAAGTGCCATGGGCTGCCAAAAGAACCAACAGATCCATTTTGGAAGAAGTGCAGCCAGACAGAGTGCTCCTTGGAGGCCAAGATGGCCAAACTTTGTCTCTCATACTTTGGACATATTGTCAGGAGGGACCAGTCACTGGAGAAGGATATCATGATTGACAGGGTGGAGGGTCAGAGAAAAAGATGAAGTCCCTCAACGAGATGGATTGGCGAAGTGGCAGCATTGATGGGCTCAAGTGTGGCAACAGTAGTGAGGTTGGCCCAGGATCAGGCAGTGTTTCATTCTGCTGTGCATAAGGTCACTATGAGTTGGTGCTGACTCGATGGCACCTAACAACAACAACAACAGTCCTGCTCCTGTGAAACCTGTACATAGACCAAGAGGTAGTCATTTGAACAAAACAAGGGGACAATGAATGGTTTTAAATCAGGAAATGTGTGTTCCAGGGTTGTATTCTTTCACCATACATATTCAGTCTGTATGCTGAGTAAATAATCTGAGAAGCTGGATTATATAAGGAAGAACATGGCATCCGGATTGGAGGAAGACCCTTTAACAACCTGTGATATGTAGATGGTACAATTTTGTTTGCTGAAAGCAAAGAGGACTTAAAATAATTACTGATGAAGGTAAAGGCCATAGCCTTTGGTATTGGTTGTATCTCGATGTAAAGACAACAAAAATCCTCACCAATGGACAAATAAATCCATATAAATGGAGAAAAGATTGAAATTGGCAATGACTTCATTTTGCTTGGATCAATCATTGACAGTCAGGGAAGCAGCTGTCAATCAATCAAAGGACATATTACATTAGGCAAATCTGCTGCACAAGACCTCTTTAAAGCATTCAATAGCGAAGATGTCAGTTTGTGGACTAAGGTGCACCTGCCCCAAGTCCTGACATTTTCAAGTGCCTCATATGCATGTGAAAGTTGGACAATGAATAAGGAAGTCTGTAAAAGAATTGATGTATTTAAATTGTGGTGTATTAGAGGAGAATATTAAAAGTACCATGAACTGCCAGAAGAACAAATAAATCTGTGTTGATGAAGTACAGCCAGAATGTTCCTTAGAAGCCAGAATGGCCAGACTTTGTTTCTCACACTTGGGTCATAATATCAGGAGGGTTCAGTCTCTAGAGAGGCTGCTTGGTAAAGTGAAGAGTCAGCGAAAATGAGGAAGACTCCCAACAAGATGGACTGGCACCGTAACAGCAGCAATGGACTCAAGCATAGCAACGCACGTGAGATTGGCACAGGACTGGGCAGTGAGTGTTTCTACTGTGCATAAATTGCTATGAGTCAGTTAGTACTCAGGGCACCTATGAACAAGCTGTAGCTTGAAGAAAGACGAGCTTGTCTGCTCCAGTGAAGATTTACAGCTTCAGAAACCCAAAGGTACAACTCTACCTTAAGGCAGGGAGCCTAGGGGGCTTTTTGGAAGGAGTTACTAAGAAAGCAAAGACTTGTCTCAAGGGCATGAGATATCTTTGCTTCTCTACAGTATCCCCAGCACCAGGAGCTCAATAAATGTACATTAAGTGGATTCTCAGTGGTGGATGTTTTCTAAGATGTGCAGCCCCATAGTCCCCTGTAGAAGCCCCCCAAGCAACTAAGATGGGCCCAAATGAGGTCCTCATGTGACCCAAGCCCCAATATCTGCTAGGTGACCTCTCCAAATCTTCCAGAGACGAGAAGCCTAGGGGTTGCTGGAGGATGAAAACATGAATTCTAAGGCCTTGCCCATTCCACAAAGCACACTTAAGATCTTTGTGTTTTACTTTCTTGTACAATCTAAATGGTTTTACCCACCTTGAAGTATAATCTTTTCTTGGGGGTGGAGAATGTCAGCCCCTGGGAGGGGCTGAAACCAGAGTCTGAAGAACCACACATGTGCAATATCCCATAATAAGTTTTGTCTGCTCATATGTGATGGCATTCATCT